GGTCATTCAATGAACTGCAGTTTTCAGCACTTCCATGTTGGCTTCACTTACAGCCCTGGAAGTTGCTGCTTGATTTTACCACCAAGTGAGCCATTTTTTTTTACAGTGAAAGACTTTGCATATATGTTAAACAACGCACAACATACTTGCAGTTAAACTCATTCCCTATGCATGTTTTAGACTGATAGTGGGTCAGATCCAAATCACATTTCACTCTCCTGAAGCGTGACCTGTACATATTTGAAACACTGAAACAAAAGACATAAATTCATAAATAAAAAAAAAAAAACACAATAAAACATCTTTATATGTCAACAAGTACTTTAACTTCAGATTGTTGCAGCTCTTCCAGCAGGACAGTATCAGTAGCTTACTTCCTGAACTGGTATTTTTATAACTGTCTGTCTCCCCTCCTTTATTTATGTTACTAAGGTATAATCAGTGTGCTGGCAGTTGTTGCTGACCCATGCACATATTGACTGAATTTCGCTTGGCAGTGTACCAAACAAAAAAAACATGTTACTCACACAGTGCGCCCTCTGAAATACCCTCTCCACACACCCACTTGGATATGATGATAGATCATTTGTGTGTTTTCTCTGCAACTGGGGAGGAGGAAGAGATCACACTCTCACGAATGGCACACAGAAAAAAACAACAGGGAAATGGATAATCCCTCTGCTAACTGAAACTCATTTATCGACTCATGTGAGAGATAGATCCGTCCAGTGAAACTCCACCAGCTGCGTACATTTATGTAGAGTTGTTACAGCATTTTGAACTGTTGAATTACTGAACATGCATGGAGCTAGAACCTGTACAGCTTTTAAAATCAAAAATAGATGGTTTAGGTAAGTTAAATATGGACATAATTCAAAGCTGATTCATATATTCATGTAAATAGTATATCTGGATTATCCCTCTGGCTGTTTCATATATATATTCTTTTTTTTAATTCATTGCAATGATAGTTATGACATTGCCTCTGTTGTAATTTTCAGGATTGACTGATTTGTTTGAGTGCCTTTTAATGTAAATTTTAAAATCCTAAAGCTCTACTAATTAGTGTTTTCTTTAAAATCAATCGGTCAATTCATCAGTTTATTTGTTACATGAGTTCATTAGATATGATTTCAGTAAAATGTAATAGTTGTCCGTTCTGTCAATTTGTAATAGTAGTAAATGAATGTTCATGTTTAGGATAAAGCAGCAGTCAGTATCCTTGTGGCTTGAGGGTAGAAGCTCCTCCTGAGTCTCTCAGTGCTGGCCTTGTGTAACTGGTATCTGTTTCCTTAGTATCGAAGGGGGTTCTGGGAATTTCCTCATGCATCTCAGATAAACCAGTCTCTTCCTTGTTTTTCTCACCACTGAGTCAGTATGCAACATCCAGTTCAGGCCCTCTGATGAAGCTATCCACCCTCTTCACCCATTGATATTAAGGGGGGTGTTGTTCCATTGCTGCTTCTCCCCAAAGTCCACTATCACCTCCTTAGTTTTGCTGATGTTTAAGAATAGGTTGTCGTCCTGACACCAGCAGGTCAGGTCCTCTACTTTTTCCAGGTAGGCCTTTTTGTTGTTATCTGTGATCAGGCCCACTGCAGCTATGAGGTCAGCAAACTTGATGGTGTTGGAGTCTGAAGAGGCTACACAGTCGTGTGTGTGCAGGGAGTATAGCAGGGGACTCGAAACACAGCCCTGGGGTCCTCCTGTGTTAAGGATGAGGGTGGAAGAGGTGTGTCCGCCCACTCTGACCACTTGGGTTCTGCCTTTCAGGAAGCAAGGATCCTCATGCACAGTGAGTTGTTTAATCCCAGCTTCTTGAGCTCTGTGACCAGCCTAGAGGGAACAATGGCGCTAAACTCTGAACTGTAGTCAATGAACAGCAATCTCACATAGCTCCCTTTCTTTTCCAGATGAGACAGGCTGTTGTGGAGAACGATGTGAAAGGTATTACTTGCAACTCTGAAGCTCTAGTCAGCTCTTTTAGCTGATTGTTTTGGTTTTACAGGCAGTAAATTCTCTTTGTTAAGTCTGACTCCTTTTATCAATTGCCAGCAGCAGCTATTTCAAGTAATAAAGCTTTAATAAACCTACTGCACACTACCTGCTCAGCCCCAAACAGCAGTGAAACACAGTTTGCTGCTACCGGGTAAATATAATGGAGCATTTAGCAGCTAAAGATTAAGATATTTAAAGAGGTTGAAACTCCAGCAACACCTGTAGTATATAGAACATCTTTATTGCAAGACCAATGCATTTCGGCTTATGGCCTTTATCAGGGTCCTGATAAGCCGAAACACGTTGGTCTCGCAATAAAGTTGCTCTATATACTTAAAGTGCTGCTGGAGTTTCAACTTCTCTAAACTTCTTTGCCTTCAAGTAGGTGAAGTTGTGCCAGAAACCCCGACCCTGTTTCAAAGAGCCAGATATTTCCTTTAGGAGATGGTGGAGAACAAAACAGAGCTAAAAGAAGAGTGACTTTTAGACCTGCATTTGTCTTGGAGTCCAAATGAATGCTACTTTTGCTGTGTGTATAAAAAAATGGAGTGTCTGGAGTGTCACACTGCAGCAACACAGCTATTTGCACCCATCCCTACAATGCATTATTATGGATCCTGCTGTGTACTGTGATTGTCAACTTTGTCATGTCGACTTGTCAAGGTCAGAAGTGGTTAGGACCAGGGCAAAGACATTATGGTTAGGGCTAGAACTAGCCAGTGTTGAGTATTCTCTGAGATTTAAGTGGTAAATTTGCAAGGAAAAAATTCACACGTGTACAGCCAGAAAGTCAGGTGATGCAAGATAAAGAGTGACACAGTTCACAGAAGGAGTCAGATGTGGTGGGTGAGTGAGTTAAATAAAGGACTATCATGCAGAAGACAAGGTCCTGTGTGAGTCAATATTGCCTTCTTTTTTGACTTGGATGGTTTATTATTTTCAGTTTTTAGATGTATAAAGCTGCTGAATGCACATTGTGCACATAAATCTTAGCAGCATGGCTGAATAGACACGTTCATGTTAACATCATATTTCAATGTTGCTAGGGCACCCAGGAATATACACCTGGGCATTAATAGCCACATTGGCTATTCCACCCCAGTTGCCAAAAGCGTTGTTGGTTACGGACAACTTGGTGCAATTAGAATCTGTCATAAAAAAAAAAAAAAAGTTACTTCAACAATTGTGTCTATGACTCTATCACTTTTGCACAAGACACATCTTGCTGGAGTACACACTGTAGTAGTGCTGTTGAGCAGCATCAAAGATTTCTTGTTTAAGCATGCAGACAAAGAACTTGATTGTACTGACGGTCAGATATGATTTGAATTGTTGGCAGATTGTTCATTTCCTTCCTAAACACCAAGATAATCTCAATAAATTGCCTTTTATTAGGCTTTATCTTATCGTGGTTACTATAGCAGACATGTTTGACTAATATTGAAGTGTGATAATGTGTACACGTATACTGTACAAGATAAAAGTGTGTCAGAGTGTGATATTGATATTGAACAGCAAATGTACCTCGCTCAGTCTGCCTCGTAGAAAAATACTGCGCTCAGTCAGCTCCACGGGATAATAGTCCAACATGCCAACCAACCAAAACACTTTTCCTTTTCTGCATTTCTTATATATTTTTTTATTTTAAAAGATTTGCTGTTTGTTTGTTTTAAGTTTTTTGTTCTTGTGGATACTGGCTGCTCAAAGATAACCTCATGTCTTGTGACTTTTCCAATAATTAATCAACTACCTGTTGTTGTGTATCCAAAGCCTGATATATATTATTCGTCTGTGCTGTATAAATCCAAAGTCTGTTTCTACATAATAATAACTATTGCACTTGGTGACTTATTCTATCATTACAAGGAACAGGGGCATTGTAGTTTTTTGGGGTCAATCCCACATACTCTGCCATGCTGCTAGAATACTACACTAAATGTGTATTAATCCACCACTGAAAATAGTCCCCAACAAATGCACTTTGCACATAGATTTGAGTAATGTTTGCTAGAGGCTACAGTGCCCAGCTGTTTGAGGAAATTATTTCGTCTTTTTTTAAATAATCTATATATAGGTGACCTTTTCTAAATATTTACATCTTCAGTATGTACAAACGGGCTTCCTGTGTTTCACAAACAGAAAAGAGAGGTTAAAAGGTACTGAAAGCTTAGCTAACGCTTTGTTGGTTCTGGTCTTTTCATCTGACTCATGTTTAAGTTTTTTAAGTGTTTATCACACTGTTATTGCTTCAAAGTTCATGTATACTTTAGTTTGTATCATAAATGCTCCCAAACATGAAAAGATAATTTGCTTCATTTGAAAACAGCAGGTTCACAGAAGCCGTAGTCCCATATCTATAAAATATATTCATAGCATTTCTAGTTTGACATTAACTCAAACTTTACTGTATGATTACCCATAGACTGTGTGACCCAGTAGAGATGGTAGGTGTAATAAAAACTGATATAAAAACCGTCACTTCATGTTTTTGTTGAGACTATATAAACATTAAAGCACTAAATCAAAACTGAAAAAATAAAATAAAATAAAAACAGAACAGAAAACAGACTGAGAAAGCCTGATGAAATATGAGGTGAAGTTCTCTTTTTCTCTTCCTCAGTCTCACTCAAACACAATCCCACTCTATGCAAACATACACACACTCACACATACACACATCTAATACACTGTATATCCGTTACAGTCTCATGTGGTCACCTCTCAACCACATAACAAGCTCTGCCTGGCCACTTATTACCTACTGACAGCAGTAAAGCAGACACACCCAGAGCTACCATGGGCAAAAGGTTAAACCATAAAACTACTCTTCATTTGAAAAAGCACACAAACGAGCACCAACACACCCAGGTGGTAAACGAGGCCAATGCCCAGGACTTGCCTGATTGGCTTGGTTTGACGAGTGATGTCACCTCGCAGCAGGGCCTGACCACTTAGTAATAAAACGATACACAGATAAGGGTCATCGACTCCTTAAGAGCAGCAGAACACTGGAAAACAACGTCTGAGCGGACACGTACACACGGCAGAGAGGAGGAAACACACTGACAAGTCGACACTTCTGGAATCAGCAGCAGGTGTGGGAGCTACAGTTTGAGGAGGAGGCGTACTTGGGGGAAAGAGGAGCTGGCAAAGAGGAGGCTTAAGGGCAAAATCCAGAAGGCCATTAGACTTTTGCTGGACAGTAAAAGGGGGAAAGGGAAGGAAAGAGCACAGTGCAAGAGAGAATTCAATAAAAGGGAACCAAGAGGAGTGGAAAGACAAACAAAGGAACTTTTGGGGCGAAGAGTGGACGCCTGTCTGAGTGCACAATGGTGTCTTTGGGACTTGAACTTGTCGGCGTCATTCTGTCAGTGCTCGGCTTGCTGCTGAGTGTGACCAGCTGTGCCTTGCCAATGTGGAGGGTCTCCGCTTTCATTGGCTCCAACATCGTCACAGCTCAGGTGTACTGGGAGGGCCTGTGGATGAACTGTGTGTTCCAGAGCACGGGGCAGATGCAGTGTAAGGTCTACGACTCCATGTTGGCTTTACCTCAGGACCTACAGGCCGCCAGGGCGCTCACCGTCATCTCCATCATCGTGGTGGTGGTGGCTCTCCTCATCTCTACAGTAGGAGCAAAGTGCACCAACTGCATTGAGGAAGAAGGGGTTAAAGCCAAGGTGATGATTGCCTCGGGTGCCTTGTTCATCACAGCAGCTCTGACCCAGCTGGTGCCCGTCTCCTGGTCAGCACACACCATCGTGTATGAGTTCTACAGCCCAATCATCCCCTCGGCTCAGAAGATGGAAATCGGTGCAGCGCTGTATCTGGGCTGGGCTGCTGCGGCTCTGCTGCTGATTGGAGGATTCATCCTCTGTTGCAGTTGCCCACCGCAGGATGAGAAACCACTGAGGTACAGTGTGCACCCCCAGAGCCGTGTAGCATACTCCACCACAGCGAGGTCGAACGCCCCAAGCTCCTACAACAGAAGGGACTACGTGTGAGGGAAGAGGACAGGACTGAGGGGGGAGTAGGAGGAGTTGTGAACTCTAGTTCCACTTGGATCCTGCTTATTTGTGCATTGTCAAGAAATGTGTACAAAAGTGTAGCTACATAATGATTAAACTGGTTTTTAGTGGAGCCAGTTGTTCACTAGAAAATGGTAAAAGAGCCAAACCAATTTGTGGATATTTATGACCATAAATAAGTGTAAATATGGAGGCTGGGTTTTATATATTTTTGAGGTTTAAAAGCTCTTTACAGATGTTTGATAGTACTGTTTACAGTTACCATTGGTCTAAAGCCAGTTTAACAAGATGTGACCAAATATGGTAAGAGAAGTTTGAAAATTTGGTCTATGTGGTCAGTTCAACGAGGAGACTTCATCTCATATATATTTATTATTTGTGCTCGTAACATTATGTTGTGAATGTTCCTTCTTGTACTGATCAGTGTGTACATGTATATATATAAAGCAAACAGAGACATTGTTGTGTCTCTAGGGGGGTATTAGCTTTCCTGCTATTATTACAAAATACACACATAGTCACGGACGTTGAACATTGTACAGTCAACCAAAATGGAGCTCAAAGCAAGGTCAACATGGCGGAGTGGACTGTAAAGAGAGGTTATGTAAAATGAACATTTGGTTGGGTGATATGTGTGTGATTTTCTGTCTCTATCACACTTCACATGCAGCATTATGAGGCTGTGTTTCTACAAAGGTTGATGCCTTTATATAACATGACTTTTGTTGTTTAAACATTTAATGTACTTCCAATAATGAGAGTTTACTATATGACTGCAAATGTATTGTTTTGAGATCGACTGAAATGATTAAAAAAACTTAAATAATAAAGTAATAATAATAAAGTAAAAGTAAAGATTTTCACCCTGAAACATTATGTGGGCCGAGTTTATCCTGGTTCAGTTTAAAAATTATTAAGGTCATTGCATGTTTAAATATTAAATATGATGAGGTTTTGCTTCTACATACTGTTGAAATGAAAGTGGTGACTCAAATCAACACAAATTACGATTAACAACAAGATGAAGACAACTTGAGCACATTTTAAAAAGAAAAGAAGTTATTTCATTCGTGTTTGTTTTTACCTTCTTGTTTTGTTTTTTATCTTTGACAAAACCAGCATTAAAAAAAAGATGTTGGCGATGTGAGTGATTTCAGAGTTAGGTGTGACAGATATCTTCTTTTAGGCTCTGATGATATGTTGAGGGCAGTCCCTTCTGTTGGTGTCTGACTCAGTGTCTGAACCACATACCAACTCTTTCCTCGTTTGAATAGTCAAATTATCCCTCTGTCTTCTGGCAGGTGCAGAGCAGCCTTTTTGTTTTGCACCAGGAGCATTACTACACATGACCTATTTCTGCTCCTCTGAACAAACCTCTTCAAGTTTTCAAAACTCCTCTGTGAATATAAAGGACCACACCAATGAACACCTTGTGGTGGAAGAAGTACTTTTACTTAGGTAAAAATAGCAATACTGTATGTATATACAGTATACTCTGTTAGAAGTAAAATAAGAAAAGGTCCTGCATTCAAATTTCTTTTATAAATACAAAAATATTAGAATTAAAATTAAGCTTCCAAAAGCAAAAGTACTCATTATGAAAAAAAAATATTTTATTTTATATTATATTATATTTTACCTTTATTCAATAAGGAAGAAAGACCTGGCAAAAGTAGCAGCCAATCAAACATAGTTCTTGATTAATTTAATTGTACATCCCTTCAATGTTGCAGCTTGTAAAAATGGGACTATTTGTTAATTTCTTTATATACTGCTGGGTAGCTTGTAAATTGGTGACATCATAATTTAAACACATATAGGCGTGTCTTAGTTTTAGCTTTCATTCTTCCACAGTGATACCAACTTACATGGTTTTATATGGAAAAGATATCTTTACTAATTGACAAGAACAGACACTGGCTCTTGTTTTAGCTACGCAAGCAGCTGGTCAACACCGGTCGGTCGGTGTACTGATACAGGTAGCGTAAAGGTTATCGCTGTTATCTTGGTGGTGATGCGTCAGCTGGTGTTGTTACATAAACACAATGAAAGGACAAACAGAGCCTCCCTGTTGTTGAGCCTTAGGGTTTGTTTTTCTTTGATGTTGCTGTGAGAAGTATTTTGGGCTCCATACTCATAACGTAAAGGACATCTGCGAGGACAATTTTCTGTCACATGTAAATGTGTGTTTTACTAAAACATTGGATTAGCCTGTTATTCAAACCTATAAGCAAAGAGCAGTTGTAGCCCCTTGAGATTTGGAGATGAGTGATGTTTCTGAAAAGATAAAAGTTGCCCTGTTGTGTACTCCTCTTGATAATGACATGATAATGACAAATTATATTAGTGACACTTGGCTGTATTTTGTAGCAATCCCAACATATTTAGAGGATAGCGTAAATTGGCACCAAATATTTGGAAAATTAACTGGTACACTCTAAATCAGGGGCATAAACATAGAAAGTGTGGTTGCACTAGGGCTCGTTGAGTGGGGGGGGGGCTGTACAGAGTTGGGAGAAGAGCTCAAAAATACAACTGTGATCAAAGAAGAACCGACATAAAATCAAAAGTTGTGCCATTTGCTTTTTATGCCCTCGAAAATTGCAAATTCATCTACTTAATGTTTTTGGGTTTTTTTTGCTAAATAGTGGCAATCTATGAATAGATGTTTACCCAACATAAACTATATATAAATAAAACTATTCAATTAAATTAATAATTTCTTATTTCCTTTGGTATTTTTGTCTTATACAGATATGCAAACACAGTTACTGTGTAATGTGTGTGTTGATGCAACATAAAGTGTCTATTTGATCATGTAACAAGATGAGAAAAAAAAAAAAAAAAT